AGTGTGGCAGCAGTGAATGTAGTTTGAGGATAGAACCAGTCGTGGGTCACACACGTTGGCAATATGCGGTTTCTTATTATACATTTCACTGAAATCTGTCCTGCTGCTCGTTGGGTTGGGCTGATCTTTTTGTTCGGCGGCCGCCGCTGGAAGAGGAAGCTGCTGCAAATTCGGAAATGGGCAAGTCATCCCGCACATCCGGGTTGACCATTTGCGCGAGGACCGGATGCGCCTGCTTATCTTTCAGAATTTGCATGATTTCTGCAATTAGTGTGGTTGGGTCCTCGACGAGCGCTTTTACAGCTGCCAACGGCTTGTCTAAGACTATTGCAACGAGCATTTCGCCTCCATCTTTTTTGATGATTGCCGACTTTCCGGCTTGCGTCCTATTTAAAATTGCAAAGGCTTTGTTCTCACAAATGCACCTCTCCCATTCTTCTGTCGCTCTCAGCGCAAGTGATCCTGTCTGCGGCGGGGCCTGATTGACCTCGGGGGTTCCCAGCGCGCGGAGAAATACACTGTCAGGCAACTGGGCGGTTGGTTTGTTAGCTGCAGCGGCTGCTGCACGACGCATGTCGTCGAGCGTGACTTCTGTTGAGTTAGTCACTTTTTTGGTAATATCTGTTGCGTGGTCCGCCCAAAGCTGGCCCAGGTGGTGGCCACGTTTAGGTTCCATGTACCATTGGTTCCAAACCGCTCTGTGTGACCATTGGGCTGCTTTGTAGTTGAGTTCAACTAGATCTCGCTTCATGTCATATGCGCTGAGGAGATCATTAAGCTCTTGCAGCGTTGTAGTGCGGTGGACGCACCTTTGCTTGACTGCCCCATCAAGGTGTAATGGCCATCCAACTGGCATCAGAGAGTCTTCGAGGAGTCCATCCCCGTTTTGCTCAATGACAGTTCCCAATAGCGGAACATCAATGGTAGTTTTGAGACTGATGTGTGGCCGATTGCACTGCCACGTTTCAGCTGCCAGGAGTCCGCGCCTTGCAACTTCTGCTAAGGCTTCAAAGTTGGGCTGTTCTCGGAGAGGGAGGGCATCTTCTTTCATGATAAGGCGTAGTCCGTGCATGGGCTCACGGGTGTTGGATGAGCCATCCGCAGCGGCTCTGGCAACCGTTTCATCTTCGAACCATGTGGGGCGAAGGGATTTCACTCCCATAACACTTTTGGAATCTGCAACCTTTATGTATTCTCGGCGAAGGCTGTGGTACATCGGGGGGACCATCCACGCTGGAATAAAAACATTGATGTAGTTAACATTCCAGGCAACGTTGGCCCCTTTTGGTTTGAACTCAGCCGTGATGCAGCGAATTTGTCCATCTATTGTTTTGATGTAGGACTCGTTGCGATCAAAGGATGCTGCGACCTTGAGACCGAGGTACTTGGATGGGCGGGTGTGCTTGTAAGTAGATAGCTGACTTATATGTTACTTGGCTGGCTTAGTGGCCAACTTATAACTTACTTTGCTGACTTAGCAATGTGGACTTAGCAGACTTAGCAAATGCACTTAGGGTGAACTTACTAAGTTGATTTAGCCTACTTACTAAGTTAACTTAGCATACTTAGTAAGTTAATTTATTGAAGTTACCTAAGTTGGCTAAGTTAGTTTTTTTCATCCTCCCAGGCTAGAAAAAAATCAATTTTCGCGAGCTATCGTCAAAAACAAACGCATGGTTTAGCCCAAAAAAAAGAAAATCAACGCAAGAAGGGAAACACATATAATCTGACATGCTGAGAGATCGCACAAAGCGAGCCTTTTTCCTTGCTCGGCATGGGCTCAAGCTCTTATTGTCCGCTGCGCACCATAGAATGCATTAGCATTGGATCAGTGCGGAAAAGTCAACGCATGCATGCTATTTCGCCATGGAGCTTCTTCGCAGGGCGCTTAGCCTTGTAATTATTTATTTTTCGGAACCATTGAGCACGCAACTTCTTCAACTTCTCTCTGACTCGCATTGCGTTCCACCATTGCCTGCAGCACAAGTTTGACATTTAAACCTGAGGCTATATATATTAATATATATATATATATATAAGCAAAGAAAAGGTGGTGAGAAATTTAAGAACAAATCGTGACATGTATATTAGGCCTGATGTGGCTCCACGAGGAAGTGGCTCGCCAGAATCCGCTCACCCATACACGCCTTATCCAAGGCAATTGAAATTGACAGTGGCGCTTGGAAATGCGGGCTTGTCATTCTCAAGCCCAAGTCTGTCGGCTGACTCCATCTTTTTTGCGATCTGCAGCTTTGTCGAGTCTGTTTCGAATTACGGAACCACAGCTACAATCGCATCGCCATCAGATCTATAGGCACAACATTTTTCGATGGTGCTCGTGTTGATGAACATTGGCGCGTCTTGTATTCGGAATCTGTTTTTCCCAAGGCTGATCCATGAGGAGAAACATGTGCACACAGTGTCACCAATGGCCGCGTGAAACCAAACTTCTCCAACACCTAAAGGGGTCAGAACGACATCCTTGGAAGAAACAACTGTAAAAGCATTGACGATAGCACTTTGTGATGCCATCACTTGGGGAGGTGGCAACTGATTGCATCCCAAATAAATTCGCACATGTGTTGCGACAGCATTGCTTGACACAGATGGGTTCACAATTCACAAGCTGGGTGGATTTCTCCACGCACAGGGTTTCCAAACTGTAAAACTGAGCCAGGAAAGTTCGCTGCAGCTGGTTTGTTTCATAAGCTGTGGAATCTCCAGCATTTGCTTGGTTTTCTGCATATCTTTTTATTTCCCTGTGTTTCCGTTCGTGGACCCAACAGCACAACAGCTGGTGCTCCCTAAGGGCATACGGAAGGTGGGATGCAAAGTGCATCTTTGGTTGGTAGCGCTCATCTGTATAAACACCTAGGCGAAGCTGCTGATGCCTTTGTATGGAGTCTTGAAGAGCATGCGGTGCAACATCCCGGTGGGTTTTGCATCTTTGAAGCAAATCCAGCACCGAAGCCAATGCATTATATGAAGCTACTGCAGCTATCACCAAATCATCAGCTAAAGGGGAAGCACCACCAATTCATCCAACATGTGTCGAATTACTTGATAAATGCTTAACCCCTACGCGCTGCATTTGATTTCCCCATCGGTCCATTTCTCCAAAATCTTTTGGCCTGTGATTGCCCTGCCTCGTATGCCTTGGGGCCAAGTGTAAGTCTTCAAGTACTGGGAGAATGTTTTGATATGAAAACCTGCATCTTTCAACAGCTCAAAAAGGTAACTGCTCTCTGTGTTCCATGCGCCATTGACCATGTACACATGCATCCAATCAAACTGGATGCAATTGGTCAAGTCATCATACAAGCAATCCCAAAACGCTTGGCTCCACAAGGGTCCATGTGGGCTATAAGCCAAGCCCAGCGCTGATTCAACTTTCTCAAAATGAGCTTTTGTAACGTGCGCCGCACGTTTAGTATTCAATTCTTGCACATTTGCTAGGATTGATGCTTGGGTTGCAAACACCATTTTACTCACATCCCACTCTGTATGTGGAAGCAGGAAGGAAGTTCTGTCGTGAGTTGCGACTTGCAATCCCCTCAGCGTGATGTTGGAACATAGACAGCAATGCTTCATTCCTGAGGCACCTTTGAAGCTGAACATCATTTTGATCGCCTGTTCGTCTCCAACGATTATTCCCAAGGCGGCGAAAAATATTCGACCGCCTGAACCCTGCAGGTCTAATCTGATTCCATTGGTCAAATCCAAGGGGCTGGAAAAAAAAAGCGTCACCACTGATTGAAACACTTGTGCCCATCCTCCACAGATTGAATCTAGCTTGTTGCTTCTGATGACTAAAACTTGAAGCCAAAGATCCTCGCAGCCAGCTGCGCCATCGAATTCAGCAAAGCTGAAATAGAAAGCCAATGCTTTTCTACTGTTGGCAATCGGTTTCAAAGGGTTCCCGGGCACAATTTCATCGCTATAAAGGGCAAGTCGCCATTTGTGGTTTCCATCATTTGGGTGTACCAGAAATTTCTGCTTCAAAAAGTCAGCAAAACGGCTGCGAGTCTTTGCCAAATGCTGAAGCTGCCTGACTGGGTGGATTGCAGGAAACTGTGCTTCTGTACCGTCCACCATGTGCAGAGTGACTGTGGTGAACATCTCTGGCGGCACTTCTTTATCCATGGCTCTTTTGATACCTCGTCGATCAGTTGTTTTAGGCATGCCATTGTCTCTTATAGATTTCAGCACGCCCTCAAGGCCACTTAGGGACACGTAAGACTTTGAATCAGCACCAGTCAGAACCCTCCATGAAGAGGAAGCCATGGGCGCAGCGAGCTTAACACATGCTTTTATTTTGAGAGAGAGAGATATATATATATATATAAAGCCCTGCTGCGCTGACGAGCTGCAACTATGATTGATAGCCCTGCCACACTTTACAGATGTAACTTCAGGATGACCAAAGTGACTTCAGGTGGATACCTATAGATTGTGTGCAACCATCATGGTTGGCAGAAAATCACATGCATACATATATATATATATAATATATGTATATATATTGTGGCTTGAACAAAATGTACAAATAGTTTCAAACCGTTCCTCAATGACACTCTCGGCGAGCAAAGTGTTTGCAGGATGATGGCATTCTAAACATGGTGAGTGGTGCAACGTTTCAACACGATGTCCATCAAAGCAGCACAGCTTGGAAGCCCTGTCATTTTTTGTCTCTAAACATGGCAGGCATATTCAAAGTCACCTGGGGATTCCGGCCACACATGGTTGCACTTATGAACTAACTATCAACGCTGAAATGCTCAGCGCTCGTATGAAAGAAGCATCTTTTTTTGAAACTGAGCGCTTGCGTCCCCAAATGAGATCTCTGTAGTATTGACGCAAGACATGGGCAGCTGCACGCATGCCCCGTCAAAATGACCCAAAGCAGGGCAAAAGCAATCCAACAACAAACGTGGACTGATGCCACCCCATGATGTCAACATCCGCCATTTCGGAAAGGATGTTACAGTCTATTAATCTACATCATTTGCATCTTCAATGATGCTCAAAGCTTTCTCCCAAGCAGCTTCAGCACAGCCATCACGAATCTTCACTTTGAGATCATTGCGGTCAGTGACTTTGCGAAAGACCCTCATTTCCTTGCCGTTCTTGGGGTACTGGATCTTGCCTCCCCTGAAGTAAGTGGTTCCAAGGCCCGGTGCGCTTGGGCATGGCGGTCTCCCCAAACCAATGGCCGGCTCTTGTTGATGATCTGCTGCAGGCTGCTCGTTGGCATCAGCCACCTTGACAGAAGGCTTTTTTGACTTTGCCTTGCCACTGGCTTTTGCCTTTGGCTTAGGCTTTGGAGCTGCCTTTAACTTGCATTTTGCCTTACCTTTGGCCTGTTTACTTGGTGCCTGAGGGTCCTCTTCAGCGGCTCGCTTTTTGCCAGCAGTGCGTTCCTTGATGGAATCCAAAACCGTTGCAACCTGCTGCTCAGGTGGGAGCTCTAAAGGCTTTGGCTCCACAAGAGCGCTTGCATTGGATGGTGCTGGCAAAGCTAGGGGCACTGGCTTGGAAGGGGCAGCTTGCACAGGAAGATTTGCAGGCTCCATGGTTTCCTGCGAATCAGTTTGGTCACCTGCAGGAGTGGCAGGAGTGGTGGGAGTGGTAGACGCAGCATCACCCAAAGCTTTGGTGGCCTTTGCTTTCGGCTTGAAAAGAGTCAACCCTGGCAACTGATGCTGTCCGGTTGAGCCGTGTACCCCTTGCTGCATCATTGCCATGACAGACATCAAGGTATTTGCCATCACTTCAGCCTGGCTCTGGCTCTGGGATTGTTGGCTATTCACATCCATTCCTTTGTTGGTCTTCCTCAGAGAGACGACACGGTTCAAGGCCTCATCGACAGCAATCAGGCATGGTGGATCGTCTGCATACGCTCTTGCTCTGAGGCCTTCTGGCAAGTCAAACGGACTCGGTGGGTATTCCACCAGAAAGGGGCTTGGCTTGCTAGCGTTCTTCACCCTTTGTTTCAGAAGCCGCTTGATTTTCCTGAACTGCCATGTAGGATTCAGAACATGCTTTTCCAAAGTCACCAACATTCATAGCACAAATCAAAGCCCTTTTCACCGTTTGTTCAGTTGGCAAGTGAATGTTCAGCTTGAAGAGCCTTGATGCCACCACATCGCACTTTTGCACCAGTGTCGCCGAAGTATCACTGAACACAGCACAATCCTTCTGGGAGAAATACTTGTTCCAAAGTAACAAACTTTGGTTGGGCCTGCGGGCACCCTTGGTGCCTTGCCCCTTTGCCACCGCTGCGCCAAGGGCAGTGGCTAGGACCGTGATGTGAGCATCACCTCAAATTTCATGCTCCAATGCCCTGGTGAAAATATTCCCCTCAGCACTGGTCAAATGAGCGCTTTCAAGCCTGACCTTCCAAAGCTCAGCTTGCTGAGCAAGGACGCCAACAAATGCTGGTCCGTTCTGAAGGACATTTCTCTGGGACCTCAAGTAAGCTTGAGTGTTTTGAAAGTCTGTCAGCAGCATGTCTGCTGCACTTGCCATGGCTTGGCAAATATCCCACTACTGCTCCTAGTAAGGTGATGCGACACACGAGCACAGAAGGCCCTGCGGACGCAGTGCTTGCGAGCATGCCAAGAAGCCCGGCAAGTGTCTGTGAATCAGTTTGCATTATGCTGGACCGAAATGCAGTGCTGATACATGCACAACAATCTGAAAGCGCAGGATTACATGAGCTTGACACCTCCAAATGTGATTGCAATTGATCATGTATGCCCCTTGCAAAGGCAGAGAGCCTGGCAAAAGCATTGGAGTGATGCAGGGTCCAAGACTCGTATCTTCCAACAGTGCAGGTCTCAGAGCAAATTTAGCCTAATAAAGACTCGCACCAGTAAACAACACACAGGGCAGGTGCACCTCGTTAATTAGCACTGAGTTGAAAATCGACACAGTGACGATCAGCTTCTGATTTGTTCGAAACTGCAAATAATGTTGCATCAACACATTTTGGAACTCACTCATTGAAGATCTGGGCGTTCATTCTCCGATATGGACAGGACCATTCCTCAGTGGTCCTCTGGCGCTTTGCAGGGTGCAACTCTGTGACCTTGACGCCATTAGCCACAAGCACTGTTTCAACCTCCCTGGCAAGACGATTGGCGCTTCTCCATGCCTTGTTTTGTTTTCGCAATCAGTCACATCTGAACATCAAAATGTGTTGCATCTGAAACTCAAACTGTTTTGCAACTGCAAATTCAACAAACAGTGAAAACGCCACAATTTGAACTGAGCTACCGAAGAATTCAATTCATGATAGCGTTTCAACAACTTCGGCTGGCTGTATCGCATGGCACTGACATGGTCAGCTGTGAAGGAATTGGTTTCAGACGCCATGCAGCGCGCAGCTAATATATCCGAAGCACCTGCACACATAAAGAGGTAGCTTTTGTATCATGTTCTCATGATGTGCATTTGTGTTATTGCAGGTTCATGGCATGCACCATTGTACCTTGATCCCCTGTTTTTGCGCGGCAACTGTACTCTTGCAGTCTGTTGGATGCTTGACAGCATCTCATCCGACTCTCTTATCCATCTGAGAATTCTCAGCGGTGTTAAAATGAGACTCTAAGGTGCTGCGAACACCGACTGATTGAGCTTGCAAGATTGAACCTATTTTAGGTCAATCGCTCAATTGCGTTGCGTGCCACAGAGCTCAGGTCAGAGATGGCATTCATAGTGCTCGTCCACTGATCATGGGTTCCTGCTCCACTGCCTCTGTGTCGAATTCTCTGGCGTCCCTTTCCATACCTGAGGACACAATGAGTGAAATATATAAACTGCTCCTGCATGCGCTGCTATTGTAACAACCTTGGACTCTAAAAGTTTTGATCCACTGTGCACTGCATGACCATGTTTCACATGTATACTAAAATGCAGCTGAGGCACGGCCAGAACACTCCACTGATGTCGATGTAGCCGCCCTCGACGTATCTGCCGCCCCAGCTGTCCACATGGAAATTCGTTTTCCCACGGCCTTTTCCAGAGGCACGGCCTTTTCCAGAGGCACGGCCTTTTCCCTTGCCCTTTGGTCGTTGGGTTGCCCACCATGGGCGTCCTCCCTTTGCCACCACCGTGGTTCTGCCAGCGCCAGGTGTGCCATTGGTTGGACCCATCCTGTGTGGTTTCTGGAGGGGTGGTATCGTTGCGCCAGGGATGCCATTGGTTGGACCCATCTCCTGTTGTTTCCTCTGGAGCATGTGCAGGGGCGCCATCGTCTGCAGGGTTTGCAGGGGCCTCTTCCTCTTCGTCTTTCTTTTCCTCCTCTTCTTCCTCTGGTGGATCATCTCCTCCAGGCCCTTCGTTGTCATCTCCACGGTCGTCGCCGTCTCCTCCGTCTCCGTCGTCTCCATCGCCTCCATCTGCTCCACCTGCAGCATCTCCGAAGCTTCCAGGTGGAATCCATGCGGACGGCTGCCCATACTCCCCATCTGCAGGCTCATCAGCATCTTCAGATGCAGGCGTATCATGCGCAGAGCCTGCATGGGGATTTTCACTTTTGACAAGTTCCATCTTGGGCTTTGTCAACTTCCATAACGCGTCAAAAGCGGGCTTGCCAGTCAGCTTCTTACGCTTGGTGATTTCATCTTTCATGAGCTGGGAGTACACCTCGCGTCGTGCTGCCCTCCACTCTTGATCATCCCATTTGTTCTTGACGCTACCACGTGGCTCAAATCCTTCGGTAAGAAGTGACCATGCTTCTCCTGGCTCTTCATAGGGCTCTGCATCAGCTTGTCGCTTGGGCGGCATGGCAGCACCAAAGAAGTCTCAATTTATCTATCTCTCCGGATGTATTGTGCACGATTGGCATGTTGTTTTGATGTGTCTGTGGTGCCCTGCGAAGATTGATATACGTGATAGTTGAAATGCATCATTGAAACTCCATCAAGTGGAATTCAAACATATCAAGCATCAGGTCACTTGTCATCCTGTGGGACTGTCTCTCGACACATTGAACCGGAGATGTCCGTCTGTGGTCAGAGGTTTGAATGAGTACACTAACTCAAAACAACGCAATCCATAGGAAACATCGACCACTGAAATACAAGGTGCTGCTCAATCTCCAGTTTCACATGAGCTCAGATTGGCTGAGCCCGCCTGGTTGCAGTGGTCGTATACTGCAGGGCTATATTCAGCTCGCAATCTGCAAGCAGGGCAACTATGCTCGCCACCGCACGGTGACAATAATGCGAGTCAGTCAGTGTTGAACGACCCTGCAAAAATATAAAGTACAAATGCGAGTCACCAAGTGTTTGACCCTGCAATTAACCTCGAAGTGAAAGAGCTTGCAATATCAAATGCCAAATGAAGTGCACAACGGCGCAAAGAAATTCTTCGAAAACTGCTTGAGTTGCCTAAGTGCACCTTTGGTTCGTGCTGCAACCTCAGTCAAAGGCGTTTGGGCTAACAAAATGTGAAACCAACCATGGACAACCATCGAGAACAACAATTGTTGATTCACAAATGTTTGGCACGCAAAAAAAAAGTTTATTGATAATTGCTTGCACTTGAATGATATTCCCAAATGTCAATCAACATTTTTTTGGCATGAATAATTGTCATTTGACAATTGTTTGCATCTTACTTTCCTTACCCAATTGTCAATTAACAATTATTTGGCATGAACAATTGTTAATTAACAATTATTTGGTATGAATAATTGTTAATTGACAATTGTTTGAATTTTGGTTTCCCTCCCAATTGTCAATCAACAATTATTTGGCATGAATAATTGTTAATTAACAATTATTTGGTATGAATAATTGTTAATCAACAATTATGCATACCACCTGCTATCTCTTATACATTGAAAGATAATAAACCCTTAACTAAACTCTCGCCATTTTTTTTGACTTTTGGTTTCAAGAGAGATGTTTTGGTGCCGGGCCGAGTCGAAGACAATCCTCAAGGTTTGCAAAACACTGCAACGGGTCAAGAAAATTCAAGTTTGCATTTTTCGTTTTTTATGCCAAACTCTGCACAACATGTGTTGTTTTCCATAGATTACCTTCTGAGCACCCATCGGAAGATCGACTCAAAACCTGGTTTGCAGAGCGGTTCACATTTTTTTAAAAAACAAATTGTACTGCATGAGCCATTATCCCTGAGGCTGGAACGAAATGCTTGTGCCAATGACTGGTTGTTAGCTTTTGAATTTCGAATCTGACAGACACATGTGAAAAGAATTGCACGCCCTTTTTTTTTTGAACTGCAGCATCAGACAAGATGGTGGCTAAGGCCACATCTTCTGCCACAGAGTTCTTGGCAGTTTTTTTTCTTGTAACGTAAACACGTGTACACATAAGGTTTGGTGATTTCAGAAACCAAAAAACTGTTTCACTAACACTCATCTCATGGCATGTCTATGCATGGGGCTCCTCTGCAGAAGCATGATCCCCTGGAAAGTTGGGATTGGCAAGCTGTGCACTCTGTGCATCTTCAGCAGGAGCATCCATCGAGTTGAAGTCTTCAGCTGATTCAACAGGTTCAACGGGTTCGGCAGCTTCATCAGCTTTGGATTTTGCATTGCGAAACTTTTTGGCTCTGCCGCATCCTTGTCCCTTTGCAGGTCTGGACCGACCTTTGCATGCACAGTTTCCACGAGCTATATAAAACAGCCCTGCGAACAATGACAAGAACACTGTGCAACGGTATCGTGCACAGAAAAAAAGCTGGCAACATCACCGGGATCATTTTCTCAGCCTCAGCAGATGCCCCCCTAAAGTTTCACAAAGCTTCATCGCAGATCAAAATGTACCACATTGAACACATGCTGATGTTACAAGACAATAGAGGCAGAATTGTGCACACATTACAGTCGAGGTCCCTTTCTGGCCGCCATGTTTCTACTAGTTTTTTGGATCCTGTTTTGGGTGCCATGATGAAGCAGGTTTGCTGGCATTCGGGGCGCTCCAAGGCTTACCGAGGCCTGCCCGAGGCACGCATGGCAGCCTCAAGGTTGCTGCGCATGTGTTGGTCAAGCCGTGGTTTGCCGCGCCTCCTCCTTGCACCTTTCACTGCTTCGTCAGAAAAGTGAAAAAATGCCCATAGAAGATATACATCTTGCGCTGGCTTCCAATCCAAGAGTTTTACTTGGTTCCTGTGCGCCTTCTAGTGCAGTTTCGGTTGCAGGCGGTTGGTGGGTTGCTGCAGTAGGTTTTGTTGTTGTCTTGCAGCGATATCGCTCATGTGGCTCTTGGGCGTGTCCTGGTGGGTTAGTTAGTGGCTGGACATGGTCTTGGGGTCACATTTGGGGGTACCTTGCGGGTTGGATCTGAAGTCTCAAAGTCTTGTGATTGAAAGCTTCTCTGTCCGGAGTAGGGCGGCACTTAGTACCATGGGGGAAGGTTTTGGCGGCAGCAGGTTCATGGTCCTAGTTTCTAGAGTCACAAAGGAAACAACATGTGTGGAGGAATCTATTGCAGGTTCTGGCACGCGAGCTGAACCACTTGAAGCAGCAGCACAAAGCGTTGCGACAGGCATCTCAA